GGCTTTCGTTTTTTAACCAAATATTTTCTATTTTTTTTTTGTTGGAAATGTTTTTCTTATTAACTTAAGACAGAAGAAATGTGTCTTTTTTTTCATTTGTTAATTTCTGCCATGTCAACGTGCGTGTAATACACGCACTATATAATTTTTACTGACGGTAACCGGAGTAGCTAATAGGTACAAGCCTTACTCGAAGTAGCTAACTGAAAATATTGGATAAGTTTAAGGAGCTATATGTATTCCGCCTTAAAAGTATATAACCTAAAATATGAACTTCTACCAATAGCAGCAGAGAAGTTTTTATTTTCTATCGAGCAATTCAGAACATGTATGCTGGAGTCAAGATCCGAGTGAGAACAATGATAGGAGACTCGAAACACTTCCCAGTCGAGATGGGATTGCACCAGCCACCAGAGATCAGCTCTTAGCCCGTATTTATTTGCCTTGGTGATTGATGGATTGACAAACATATTCAAGGGGAGGTATAATGGTGTATATTATTTGCTGATGATATAGTATAGATTGGTGAGACATACGGGGGAGTTAGCGAACTAGAGGTTGAGAGACGGACCCTATAGTCTAAAGGTTTCGGATTGAGCAGACCTAAAATATAGTACATAAAGTGCAAGTTCAATGACGTATCACATGAGGGAGATGTGAAAGTGAGGAAGCTTCAAGTATTTTGGACCAAAATCCCTAAACATGAGGAAAGTGAAAAAAAGTATTAAAAAAATATTCATGTAACATTAAAAAAGAAAAGGTAGAGATATAGAGAATCTACATTTTAATTACGAGATTCCTTGTCACATTTCAAGATTCTTGTACGCACTAAACAAACAGAAGTCGTTCATATGATTAAAAGACTAAGTCACGAAAAAATATTTAAAAATTTCAAGAATTTTTTTTTCTAAAAAAATTAAAGAGCCGGCCAGCCTTAGCCCGCACCCCTCTGAGAGCTGGGTGGGGCTGGCCATTTCATTTAGATGGCGGGTCGGTCCGCCCTAACCTATCAAATTTAAAAGCCCGACGCTTGGGTTGCTTTCTTTTGCTCTTGAAAGTTATTTAAATTCTCTATACCCAAATGTGAACACTCAAGTCCCAATCGCTCATCAAATAAAATATCTTTCCCCTTTTCTCTTTTCAGTTTATTATTTTATATTCATCATAATTATTTAGCTATTTTTTGAATTGAATATATTAATTTTTATACTACAATTACAAATTTAATTATTTTATCTTAATAACCGAATTTTAGGTTAAATAAATTTGACTCTGACAGCATTACCATGGGTGTGTAAGCTAAAATACTATTTGTGTGCAAACAAAACTCCTAGATTATGACGTATGACAAACCATATTAGTGTTTAAATATAACATAAATTTTGATTTTTACAATTAATGTAGATATCAATAAATTCAATTATTGTGCCAAAGATTATACATACGATACTACCGCTATTTATTATTCAAATAAAAATTAAACATGATAAAGTACTTCACATTTATAAGAAGAGCATGAGAAATATCGCATAAGTAATATTCATGTTATTATATCCAGAATAAAGCAAATTATATTCCAATTCATGAGTGCACCTTTATTATAAAAATTTAGCATTAAAGAAAAAATTGCAATTCTAGACACATGAAAACCAAGATTCTAAAAATAAATGACGAAAATCCACTCATTTTCCTTAAACTTCCTCCTTAATGGCTCTCGAGCAGACAAATAATTTCAGTTTTTACATTATTATTGTAAGTGTACAAATGTAAATTTAAGCTAAAATTCTGTTCATAAGTGAATGGAACTCCTAGACCTAACATCTAGCCGAGAATATAAGTTTCCAGAAGGAATACAATATTTCATTTTTAAAATTAATGCAGCTACTAACAGATTCAATTATTGTAATAGAATATATTTAACATTTATTATTCACAACAAAAATTATCACTACCTATTTCTTTGCTTTTATAATAAATAATAAAAGAGGATAAACAAAATCGCATGACCCAAAAAGGTGGTCCTACTCCTAGCCAACTCATATTGAGGAAGGTCCATATTTAAACAAGGTCCAACTTGAAGGATCTGAACCCTAAACTTCAGATTAAGCGTCCATCCTCTCTTCTCCGCTCCATTTCACAGAAACCGGAGCTCGACGGTGAACAAGTTTCGGCTAAGGTATCTGATTTAAGGTTTGATTTCGGCAGATCAATTTTATTGTCTTCTTCAACTACTTGTGTTTGTGTGTGCGTGGTTCTTTTGTCCAGCAACAAATCATGGGGTTGAGCTTATAAATTGTCAAACTCTAGTAATCAAATCATTCATGGAGTATCTCATTTAAACTTCAACTGATTTTCTGGAAGAAACCGATAAACATCCCAAAGTCGGAAATCCCAACCAAAGTCTTCAGAATTGAGATTGTCCAAAGTTGAGCCTTGCCAATTGTCGCTTCTCTAATCCGGCGAACTCCACGTCGCTGTTGTTTCTCTTCCAACAAAGCCACTATAAGTTTCTTCTATTTCTTTTCTCTCCACTCTTGTCTTCTCTTCTCTTCTGTCATCAAGAAAAACAAATGATCTGATTGTCTGCTAGAACTTGTCTAATTTCCAATACTAAAATCAAATGAATCTCCATAACCCAGTTTTGGGGGCGTGTGTGTGTTCGCTTAGAATTGGGTTCTCAGAAATGTATTTATTGTTCCTCACATTCACCTTCCACTATTGTATCTACTAAAATCTTAGTCATTCTGGCTTTCTTTGGATTTGGTTCTGTTCAATGTTGAAATAGTTAATTGTTCCTATGTAAAAAAAAGGGCAGCCCGGTGCACAAGCACCCCGCGTTCATGCATGATCCGAGGAAGGGCTGCACCCCCAAGGGGTGTGATGTAGACAGCCTACCTTGATGTAAGTATTAGTGGTTGCTTCCACGGCTCGAACCCGTGACCTATACGTCACACGGAAATAATTTTATCATTGCTCCAAGGTTCACCTTCAATTGTTCCTATGTAAGTTTTAAAAAATATAGCCATTCTAACACTTGAATAGAACAAAGAGAGTTATGTTAGGTGGACAATCTTGACTATGGTGAACCTTCTAAATATTGGATATAGAGAATGTATATAGCCGGCTTTAGGATTGAAGTTTAGTTGATTGATTGATTAACGTTGTTGAAATGGGGTCCTTTGTATGGATGTCTTGGGCTGGTGGATTTCAAAATCTTCCCAATAATCCACCCACAATGTCTTTTTTTACTTGGAACTCATCACTGTCTGACTTCTGCATTCAGCATTAGTTTTTACTTTTTTCGTGTATTCAACATTCGTTTAGTGCTCTACTTTGTAGTTTTGAAGAATTTATGGCTGTTGGTAGGATTTTTGCTGGCAACTAGTACTTCCTACTGCTTTTGCACCTTATATTTACCATTATTAAAAAAACAATGTTCAAAGTGATGTAGCAGCTACATAAACTTGGCTCCCATTTGAAGATGATTGCGCACACCCCCTCCCCCCAATTATTTGGTGGATGAATTTAGAACTTACTTTGGAAAAATAATTTAGAAATTTGAGAAATTGGTATGTTCATATCATGAAATGTTTAAAATGTCATTTTTATTGTGGGACTTTGTTGTTTTTAGTTAGTCTTGAACTATATTCTTTTCACGAAAATAAACTAAGGTTTTGCAAATTGGTTGACACGTTTAAAGTGTCCAAAACAAAGATTTCAATATTTGAATTCATATTGAGATCCTCATCCTCTCATCCAAACAGGGTCTTTTATCTCTGCTTTTCCGGCTACAGTTTGAAGCGAGTTGCACAATGCCGTCTCTCCAAACAGCATTGCCTCCTGAACTAGCCAACAATGCTATCCGAGTTAGTACCATTTACTGATCAGCTATTTGATTATATGAAAGCCTCTAAAATTTCTTTCAAGTGATTTATGCTGCATTTATTTCTCTTTCTTGTCTCTTAGCTTTATCGTGAGTGTCTCCGACGAGCAAAATATATTGGCAGTAAGGTATGTTGTTCTTCTTTATGTTGTTCTGAAATTATGTCAGTCGTGGTGGTTGTTGTCTAAAACATTTCTCATTTTACTTTAGCCCACTCTTTTAGTTTTGATCGTCTTTTGTTGTGGTCCTTTAAAATTCAGATGCGTGATTAAGTTGGTTGATATTAAGCACAGTCTGTTTATGTGAACTATGGTGGAGATTCTGTAAAGGCGTTATTAACTCCATGAACACATTGTCCTTACTCACAAAATGAGGTGCACCCGCTGTTCTTTAAATCCTTCGATTTGTTCTCAATGTTTATGGTTAGGAAGGAATGTTTTGACGATGTGCTTGCTCTGAAGCAGTTGCCTTTTATCTCCACAAATTTATTTGGTGGAGATGAATTTCACCTGTGTATTTATATTCTCTAGTTTGACATTTACTTCAATTATCGTCGTGGAGATGACATGCTTTAATTAGAGCAAGAGAACCCAATAAAGACTACACTTATGTCCATAATCTAAAAGCTTTTTGGAGTCAAAGAGTAGTCACGGTTGTGCTGGTTGGGATGTTTATCGTTTGGTAGAAGGAGCAAGAACAACAACTATGCCTCAGTGCCAAACAAGTTGGGGTCAACTATATGAATGCTCACTTCTCTATCTAAGCGGCTGGGAGGAGGAGATAAGGTGAGGAAAAACAAGAGAGAGGAATAGGGAGAGAGAAAGTCAATTTTGTCATTTAAATTAAATGGAGATATCAAAATGCGGTGTGAAAATTGGAATGCATATAAATTCTAGCCGGCGCCAGACTATTGAATGGTAAAATAGCCAACATTACTCCTCTGTGTACTTTGCTTTTTGAATACAAGATAAATGGAGTTATTCCAACATGACCAAATTCATTTGTTGTTGTCGGGGGATTCCTTATGCTAGACTAATCCTGTTCTAGATTATCCAAGAGAGACTGGTTATTTCATCCTTGATAACATGCCTGTTTCGAGTGTGGTACTTAGTTTTTGGAGAGCCTACAATATCCCTTCATGTTTCCATTGGTTGTTTCTTTAAGATTACCAATTTTCTCAAAGCTAAGAAAGGGAAAAGTGGGGCTGAGTTGAGTACTTGGATGTTTCCTGTGGCTAAAGCTTTTTCCTAGGCTTAACTCACCTATCTTTATGCTTCCAGTAGTCTCCTGGCTGGGTTTGCGTTATTTTTACTTTTCATTGTTTTACTAAGATGAGTTTTCCTTATTATTTTTCTTCATCTCTAGAGGAAAGGCAGCTCTGTCTGTTCTTGGTCGGAAGGGGAGAGAAAAATCTGTATTCATGTCATTCACTAATTACCGGTTGGACTCAGCATCACAGATAAAAAATTTATAAAGGAAAAGATTAGCTCTTTTTTGTCTTCCATGGATGTCTGCTCAGAAGTGTTTTACTGACCTCAGCGATGAAGATATGCAGGTTGCATGTGCTCATGCTGGCTACCCTATGATTTGACATTCTTATCTCCCTTGGAATTGTCTTTGCTTGCTTATGATAAGGATTCCTTTGCTGAGATGCTTTATCCAAATCTGGAGTTGCCCTTCCTTTTCTTTTTGCAACAACAAAAAGATATAAATATTACTCCTAATAGCTTATTTTCTGATGATCTTTTGAGAACTAGCTACTTACATAGTTGCCTGTTGCGAACTTGCAGCAACATAATACAGAGCTTCTTGTTGGTATGGTAAGACAGCAGTTCAAAAAGCATATGCACGAGACTGATCCGGATAGAATTCAGAAATTGAAGGATGAGTGAGTTCATTCTACCCTTGTTTTTCCCATAAAATGAATGTCTGCCAAACTGGCGGGAGTTTTATAAGGATTTACTTTAGAGTTCACTCACGAACCACCTTCTGATTGAAAGCATTCTTAGCTTTCTTGGTCTCATCTGCTGTGATTTTCTGGTACTCTTCTTCTAAAATATTCTGTAAGATTAGAGAGAGAAGTACATTGACACTCTAGTACACTTCCCTAAGAACCTACACTACATCCTGATTCTGCCTATTTGGTGCATTTTCTTTTGTTTATCTTTTACTTATTTTAAATTTCTTTTCCTTAATTCACATTGCATCTCTGTAAGAATTGGTCTTAGTGAAGCCATTGTCTTTCTTTTGGTATTGTAGTGCTGCGAGGGGGCTCATAAACCACATGTTGCATGAATCTGAGAAGATGACTGGCCGGAAATTCAGCCAGAGTTCTTGAACTTGCCTGTTCCAAGCAATTGGCTTTTAGGACCAGACTGAAAGTTTGTTATTAGCATGATGTTTTATTAGCATAATTAATACAGACCATACAGCCATGCTAAAAATTTTACAAGAAGTTGAGCTTGTGATGAGGCTCACGGGAATCTGAAGAACGTGGCATCATTTCTGATTATCATGCGAATACATTTTTCCATATTCTTGATTGATTAGAGCCCTGGAATAATTAAAACATATTCCCTCTGTAGTAAACTTGTCACCTTTCAGTTTGAGGTTCGATTTTTTCATTCTGTTTTTCCCCCCACCTTTGAGGGTCAACTTTCCTACAGCTTGGCCAGGAATATTGAGAAGTATTTATGGTACTTTTGAGATGAAAATGCCTTAATCTTTTAATACTAGTGTATAATTCAATAAAAATGTTGAAGCGATGAATTTGTTTGCATTATTTTTTCTTCTGTAAATAAGTTAATTGACCTTGAAAATCATGGAGTGAACCTTTGCGATGCAAATGGTGACAATGACAACTGCATTGTGTATTCAGGAGAAGCCTGTCTTTGTGGCAAGACGTATCAAATTGGTAGAGCAGTTCTGCTTTCGACCAAAGAGTGTTAGTTTCGGGGGGAACAAAAATCAGATCGAGAACCAGGAAGTTAGTGGCAGTGTCTGATAATTTTCCCTCTAAAATTGGTTAATCTTGAGCAATTTATTCTTATTTTTTATGCAAAAAGAATCCAATGATAAAAGAAAACATGCAGAAAATTGATTCAACAACACCCTAAATCTAAATAGTCCAAGGTGAAATTATAAGTTTGAATCAGCTCATGTATTCATATAACTGTTACGTGGCGCCTTCCTGAAGTTCCTTGAAGGGCGACATAAGGCTAAGCAATCGATGTCAGTGCGATTATTGTCCGCCAATTGAGGTCCCCTCCGTACGCTAGACTAGATTGTCAGTGACGTACGGGAAAACCAATGTCATGAGCAATTGAGAATGAAAGAAAGCTTGAGTGCATTGAATGAAAGCTATTACAAAAAAACAACACGGTGTCGGGAGGAGATACACCAGTACAAAGAATTGTTTGCTTGCTTGAAAGTTTGATTGCTTGGTCCCCCTTAATAATGCTTAAAACAAAATAAACCAAAGTTACATGACTTGACCTTAATAAGTTGTAAAAGCACACTTAAAGAAAATGCAGTATAACTACTCTATATTTACAATGAAAAGGACTTAGTCTTCTACAAAGTAGAAACAAGTCCGTTGGCAGCAACTTTGTCTTTAGCATTAGGGTCTGCACACACGGCGTCGTCTACGCGCGAGGTGCTGTTGGCATCTGCCTGTGGCTGGGCGCTGGTGATGGCTATCGGTGGGGCGACAAAGGCACATGCACGCTTGTCACTTGGAGCTGCCGAGACCACGGGGTCGACCGTGGCGCTGGGCGTTGGGAAGTTTGCCAGGACGCCATGGGGCACGTCCAAGGGGTCATGGGGCATGGCTAGAAAGCCGCCCATGAAATTCTCCCCCACCTGAGTTGGCGACGTCCTCGGCGCCTTACTTGCAAGATAATCATCAATTAGGCTCTTGTAGGCTTTGAGGTTTGTTCCCCTATCCCAAGTATTCTCCTCTGCATCACATCCCTGCCATTTCACCAAGAACTCCTGGTGATCTTTCCTTGATGCGTGAATCACTCGATCATCAAGAATAGCTTCAGCATGCCTTTTCCCGGTTGAATTGGGGCCTCGAATACTTGGTATTGTGAGTTGGCTTCGTGAAGGGTCCTCCATATCTTCCCGAAAAGGTTTCAGGAGACTGACATGGAAAACGAGATGGATTTTTCACCAAGCTGGGGTATCCACCCGGTATGCAACTTTCCTAATGCGCCTTTCAATGGACAAGGGTCCAATATATTTTTGCAATAGGCGGGGATCATGGGCCCCTGCAAACAAGTACCGCTTTGGGATTTTGACCATCACTTTGTCCCCCACTTGGTATTCAACAAAGCGGCGATTCTGATCAGTATGCCTCTTCATCCGCTTTTGAGCTTTGACAAGATATCTCTGAACTATCTCTAAATTTTGCTTCCATTCTTTTGAGAAGTTAGCAGCCCAAGGAGATTTTGACATGTTTCGTGGATTCACTGCATGTGGGAGTAGCGGTTGCTGTCCTGTAACAATTTCAAAAGCACTTTTGTTGGTACTTGAGCTTTTTTGTGAATTGAAACACAGTTGAACAGCATCCAGAAGCTTCACCCAGTTCTTCTGCGATCTGGTTATAAAGTGTCGGAGATATTCCTCTAGCATGCCATTGAATCGCTCCATCTGGCCATCAGATTGCGAATGAAAACTTGAGCTGTGACGCAATTTTGACCCAAGACACTTAAAGAGTCGGGTCCAAAAGTTGCTAGTGAAGTGTGAGTCGCGATCACTAACGATGTCTTTAGGCAGGCCCCAATATTTGACGACATGAGAGAAGAAGAGTCGAGTTGTATCTTCTGCTAATATATATTGTGGGGCTGCTATAAAGGTAGCATACTTGGAAAATCGATCCACCACAACCAAGATAGTTGCGAGATCTTCGACCTTGGGCAATCCGGTGATGAAATCCAGGGAAACGCTTTCCCAAGGTCTTTTTGGGACGGCTAGTGGTTCCAAGAGTCCTGTCTGCGTCAAGCGGTCTGACTTATCCTTCTGGCATACTAGACAAGTCTTCACATACTGAGCGACGTCATCGGCCATTTGAGGTCAATAATATGCACGACGAAGCAATGCCATGGTGCGTTCTTCACCGGGGTGACCGACCCACAAAGTATCATGGCATTCCGCCAGAAGAGCCCTTCGTAGATCTCCTCCTTTAGGAACATAAAGTCAGTTCCCTTTCACTTTCAGGAAACCATCTTCTGTGTAGAACTGGCGAGTCTTGCCCTGTCCTACCAAATCAACCAAATACTATGCAGTAGGATCCTTGATGAGTAGATCTAGTATCTGGTCTTTTATGGTGGTGGTTACTTCGCTCCCCCTTAGGGTGGCGAGTACGCACACCGATGCTAGATCAGCTCTCCGACTGAGCGCATCAGCAACATGATTAGTCTTCCCACTTCGATAATCCAGGTTGAAGTGAAATTCTGCTAGGAGTTCCTGCCACCTGGCCTGCCGACCATTCAGCTTTGGCCGGGTCATGAAATGGCTAACAGTTGTGTTGTCTGTCTTGACCACGAACGATGTTCCCAGTAGATAATGTCTCCAAAGGCGTAAGCAATGAACGGCAGCCAATAATTCTTTCTCGTGGGCGGCATAACGCCGCTCTGCATCCTTCAGTTTCCGGCTCTCGTACGCTACGTGATTCCCTTCTTGTAGTAAGACCCCACCAAGTGCATAGTCGGAGGCATCCGTTTGTACCTCGAATGGCTTGGCCAAATCAAGGAGGGCCAAGACGGGGCTACTAGACATAGCCATTTTCAATGCGTTGAAGGCCTTTGTCCGCTTGGGTCCCCAATCCCAGGCTGTGACCTTCTTGAGAAGTTCTGTCAGCGGCATTGCAATGAGGGAGTAACTTGTCACAAATCACCGATAGAAGTTGCACAGGCCAAGGAACGACCTCACGGTGTGGATATCCTTAGGTGGCGGCCAATCCGTGATGGCCTGAATCTTCTGTTGGTCCATCTTGATCCGTCCTTCCCCGATGACATGTCCGAGGAAGTCAATTTGTTTCTGAGCAAAAGAGCACTTGGATAGCTTCGCATATAATTCGTGCTCCTACAATCGGGCTAGGACCTTCCGCAAGTGCTCCAGGTGTTCTTCCATGGTCTGGCTATATACCACAATGTCATCCAAGTAGACCACGGCGAATTCGTCGATGTATTCTCGAAAGACTTGGTTCATCAGGGTGCAAAATGTGGCTGGTGCATTAGTCAAGCCAAATGGCATAACCAGGAAGTCGTACGACCCATATCTTGTCACACAGGTCGTCTTGTGTTCATCACCCTCTGCAATCCGGACTTGCCAATAACCTGTCCTCAAGTCTATTTTTGTGAACACCGTCGCACCACCCAGTCTATCAAACAAGTCTGCCATTAGCGGAATATGGTACTTGTTTTTCACGGTGATTTTGTTTAGAGCCCGATAATCCATGCATAGTCGTAGACTGCCATCATGTTTCTTTTGGAATAGCACAGGGGACCCGTATGGGTACTTGGAGGGTACGATGATCCCTGTGTCTAGCATTTTCGTCAATTGTCTCCGAAGCTCGGTGAGTTCGGGTTCTGACATTCTGTACGGCGCCCGGGCAGGTGGCTTCGCACCCGACACTAACTCAATCTCATGGTCCACAGTTCGCCTAGGCGAGAGACGCTTTGGCATGTCTTGTGGTATGATGTCTTCAAATTCCAGTAGCAGCTCCTTCACGGGTGCAGGGATGGGACCCGAGGAGCGCTCTATATCTTCAATGCATAGGGTAGCCAGGAACGTAGGTTCATGTCTTCTGACCCCCTTCTTCAGCTACAAGGCCGAGATGTTCTCAACGGCCATCTTCATGGGCAGGCACGGGATAATGCAGGGCTTGGCCCCATTTGCTCCCATCATCATTAGCATGTCTGCATATGGTACGGGCATGGTGTTGATTTGCCCCAGGAATTCCAACCCCACTATCAACTCGAAGTCATCTATGATCACCACGCGCATGTTGAATTTTCCTTCATAAGGGCCAAGCTACACTGGTACTTCTTTGGCTATTCCACCCACCGGCTGAGGAGGTGAGTTGATAGCCTTGACACGACCTTTGCCCTTTCCTACAACTAGGCCAAGGCGCTCCACCTGAGTCGAGGCTAAGTAGTTGTGGGTAGCACCCGTGTCTATCATGGACCGAATGGGCTTTCCATTCACCTTCATGTCGACGAACATTAAGGTCCTCTCTTGATTAGGAGTCCTCTCATTCGCTTTCTTTTTCCCTTTCTTGGCGATTGGGCAGTGGTCCTTCTTTTTACGGATACCAGCACTGGTTCCCGCTAAGGACTCAGAAATAGAGCCAACAATTGCATTGAATGCACCTACCGGTTCAGTCTGGTCCGCATCATCTGCGTCGTCATCCGTCCCATCATCAAAAGCTTGATGGGCGTTCATCTGCGCATGTGGGCATTCATTATTCCAATGTGGTCCGCCGTAATGACGACATCCTGAGGGGGGTTTCCTCCCCCCGATCGTTGTTGTTAGATGCAGTGCTGGTACTGCGTGAAGAGAGAGTCTTAGATTTGGTTGTACTCCGGTCCCCTCCACTTCTGCTAGGGCCACCAGTGTTCGACTGCCCCCCTTTGTATCCTCCTCGAATAAGTTGTCGAGGCCTGTCCTTCCGGGCTTCCACTTGATAATCCCCAAGACACTCCGCTGCTTGGATCGCCTTAGGT